GTACAATATTTGCCTCTGAGTTGTAGTAGAATAGAAGTATAACATTGCAAAAAATACCTCAAAATTAGTACTCTACTCAAGACTACACATGTGATTGGATCACAAGCCTCTCCCAGGGTTCCCAGGCAGATTAGGTGACAAACACCCCCCCTGCCCACTTTATCACAATCCCCATCCTCCCCTCACCCACAAGGTCGATCTGATCTGCTCTTGACCCACAGACTCCTGAGGAAGCATGAACCTCGTTTAAGACTCACCTCTTTTGCTTCCCTCTGCTGTTTGTTTGTGTGTACTACAGGAATCTGCCACTGGCCATCGCTATTTCCATGCCCATAGTAACTGTGATCTACATTCTGACCAACGTGGCTTACTACACCATCCTCCCCATCAATGCCATCTTAGACAGTGATGCTGTAGCTGTGGTAAGTGCATATAATCCTTAATCACTTGTCTGATGTACTGGATGAACTCCTCTACTAGACTTAATTTCCTGTATGATAGGAATTTCTCATATACCGCCACACTGTTGCATAGCTAAAATAACTGCTGTAACTCTAACTGGAGCAACATTGTTTTTGCTGTTTAACAAGGCAAAACGCCATGGCACACACAATTTGTGACAATATGTTTCTTACTCGTGCAGTAGAATATTTGAGAAATACCTCTTTGAATACTTACATATTTTTAGTATTTTATCAGTTTATAGTGTTAATACACCCATTTTAAAATATTTTGTTTTGAAAAAGGCAGCAGTGTTAAAGTTGTTGGCAATTTCTTTTTTTATTTTTAAGTGCTGCTTTTACTGACATTGTTGACATTCTGCAAATGTTCCCTTCATATATTGTTTCCTTCAGTATTTACATGACATTGAAATGTTTTTATATTCTATGTACTCCAGACAGTAGAATATGCTATTATAAACCTGTATAAAAGGCCCTGTTATGTTTGGTCATACCGCCCAACAATTGTTGATATCCATAAAGTGCAGTTTTACAGCATTTATTCTCCTCTTTTCAGACTTTTGCAGACCAGGTGTTTGGTGTAATGAACTGGACGATTCCCTTCGCCGTGGCTCTTTCCTGTTTCGGAGGACTTAACGCCTCCATCCTGGCTTCCTCCAGGTAAAGGATTACATTTGAATATTTTTTTTGCCATCACTTCACCCCCGCGTTATCAGCACCCACTCACTCATTCATTGTCTCCATTGTGTCCCTCACTCATCACCGCTCTGTTGCATATTTTTTTTGTGTCTCTAAAGGCTGTTCTTCGTGGGCTCCAGAGAGGGCCACCTGCCTGACTACCTGTGCATGATCCATGTCCACCGCTACACTCCCGTCCCCGCCCTGCTCTTCAACGTCAGTCAACCCTTGCCATCTTTTATTTTCCTGTTGTCTCATGGTTTCATTTGCACCTTTAGGAAAACCATAACCACCACATTTCGCAGTCTGATTTATGTTTCTTCCATGTCTCCTGCAGGGCATCATGGCTCTCATATACCTGTGTGTAGAAGACGTGTTCAGGTTGATCAACTACTACAGCTTCAGCTACTGGTTCTTTGTCGGTCTGTCCATTCTGGGACAACTGTATCTGCGCTGGAAGCAGCCGGACAGAAAGAGACCACTAAAGGTAACTTTTTTTACTGCATTTTTTAAATGTATTTTACTGAATATTATTTACATTTTGGTTTTGAAAGGTGCTATAGAAACAAAGTTGAACTACATAATTGATTCCGACCATCATCCAACCTCTTCTTTCTTTCTTCCTCAGCTTAGTCTCTTTTTCCCCATCGTTTTCTGTCTCCTCACCGTCTTCCTCGTGGTGGTGCCGCTCTACAGTGACACCATCAACTCCCTGATCGGCATTGGCATCGCTCTGTCAGGAGTGCCCGTCTACTTCCTCTGCTGCTACACTCCGGCACATAAGAGGCCACTGCGGCTACGAAGCCTCATCGGTAAGAGAGCCCCAGGAATCCTTCAGTGTTTTCATCTATTGAAGAGACATTTTGTTTGAAACCAGATTGCTGTCAGGTAGCAGATTGTGAAATAAAGATCCAACTTTGACTCTTTGACGCTAATATTTTGCAATAAACTTAAACATGCTTGGGAGCTTATGATATTGACTCAAAGGCCAGCTTTAACATTTGGCAGGGATCAATTGATCAATTAATTATTGAGCATTTACTGCATTTAATTGGGATGCAATGCAAAGAATGTGAAGTCATGTATTTGACCCTATAATGGGAAAACTGTTGTACAAGATCCAAGATAATATTTGTTTTTCCAAGAAAACATTATAGATATTAATTTAAATTAAAAGAACAGCCTAGTTTTCTTTTGATTAAAGAGGGTATTTTCATTGAAAATGGCAACAACAACAAAAAAAACTGTTGTATGTCAACAAATATACTGTGAAAGATTTATCACACTGATAACTGTTGGTAACCAGACTTTGTATTCTGTGTCAACACAGTTTTTGTAAATTGTTAATAGGAAATCATACATTTACAATGAATGAATATTTATTTCCAATGATTGGATATTTATTTCCAATGATTGGAAACAACTACAGAGCAATTCACTTGAGCTCAACACTGGCTCAAATTAAATTTGGTGTCAGTGTTTGCAGCTGGATTCAGGCCAATAACAGATGAACAGATTGCCCTAACGTTTCTCTTGTCTCCACTTCTTTCAGCTAAATCCGGCTTGCTGATTCAGAAGGTGTGCTACTCTGTTCTGACTGAAATGGACGACAAGGAGGAGTAGAGCCCCGTGCCAGAGACTGACGATGCACAAATGTAGAACCTAAACTCATCCTGGCCAGTCGCTGCTACCACGAGGCCTCGATGGACCAAACATTTGGGCTTGAGCTGGACCGCAGTTCTCAGACCTGTCAATCATCACCCGGTCACAATGTCAATGAATGCGCGAATGATGGCGCCCCGGGTGCTTGTTGGCAAGATTTCACCCTAGCTGAACATTTTTATACACTCTTGAAGAACACCTGTTTTTATTACAGAACTGTACGTATTAGCAGAGAATTATTTAATTGATCCTTCAAGTATTTCGTGTGAAATTACATAACCGTAATACCTTTCTGATTGTACTGGAAGTTGGCAAATTATTGTGGTTAAATTGTTTAAGTGGACAGGAGAACATCTTTGAAACTAAAAGCACTGCTGACCATAGAAACTTTGGTATTATTATTATTATTAATATTAATATTTGCACAAATGAAAATCGAGCAGTAAAGGAGTTTCATTCATAAAAAGGTTTTATACTGTAAGGTGCAAGGTCTAGTGAAGTGAAGGGCTATTTTACACAACTTAACTAATTTTTTCTGCAGTTTCTGAGTAAATGACTTTGCTGCAAACATGTATTTATAATAAAATTACTTGTTGACAACATACATTGATTATTTCTTTCATTATGCTCCAGGGATCTTTCTTGGAAAGTAGATTAATGTGTTGTACGCTCAGAAATTAAAATAGATACACCAAAGTGGTTGTTTTGAGGGAGATTTTAAACAGAATAATACATAACAACAACCCTGTCCCACCCATAAATATGTACATTAATAATAAGTACATACTGTCAAGCAGTCAGCCAGTCTGATCTATCCAATTGTGTCCTTCCATGGCCTCGCCTTGCCACCAGCTTCCTTGTCTTTATCTGACGCTACAGGTGGAGTCTGTTCGAGAGGATTGTGGTTAAAAGTCTGAAAAGAAGAAGGACCTGAAAAGAAGACGAAAAGAAGTGCTAAACTGAAAGCCATACATGTAATGTAGGGTTAACTATAAACCCATTTACAGTTTCAGTACAATTAGAAATCAAAGTCTTGACAGCACAGAGATAATCATGATAATAGCGCCCTCTAGCCTTTAGCATGTGTAGTACTATTCCACTTGCTTAGTGATAAGCTTTTCATCTAAAATTGTGAGAGCACTCAACATGGCACACAAAAGATGGAAACTTTTTTTTAGATAAACATGTTACAAAAAATAAAAAAGGTACACAAAATATTTTGTCTGACATAGGATTGCAAATAACTATACCTAATTATTTTCTTTAATAATTCATTTATTGATTTTAAATGTCTTATTTTGTCAGTTGACAGTTCAAAGGAGATTTCACAATTGGTATCTGTCTCCGGAGCTGCAGTTAGTGTGTAATTAAACACACCATAACCTATCCAAGAACAAACTGACTCTCAGTATTGTGTAAAGGGTTAAACAGTAACAACCCCATTAAATACCCGGTTACAATTAGCTTTTTATATTGCAATTACTGGCTCTGGCCACAAAGTGGAGCACATGCCCCATTTCTACATAAAGACATTACAAAGTATGTATTGTGGATAAAATTTAAAGTGCACATTATGGCCAGAATATTACTCAATGGCATTTAATTGCCTAAATTATGAATAAGCAGTACATTAGTTTGTTAGAACTATCAATCCAACAGCTTGTCTTTATTCCCGTCTGTCAGAATTAATAGAGAATATTTTCTTATGTCATGGAGTTATTGTGTACTTTAATACATGTTTTTGCCATCATGTAGAAACAACCTCAGCCAGCTGTTTCTCAGTGGCACACAGCTGAAATACAGCCAAAGAAGGAATAGGTCTGTGTGAAGCTGATGATGTAGTGGTGAGACTGACCATTATCTGTGAGGTCCAGTTGATTTTTGGTTCTCCTTTCCTTCTCTTCCATCTCCATGACCAGCTGACCCTTTCTCCAGCCTGGGCGAAACCAAACCAGAGTTGGACAAAGACAGAAATGATCACTGTGTCAACTGAGCTCCATAGTTTAACAGTGCTAATGTCCTTAAATTCTACTGGATGTACGTTTAGACACTAACTCTTCATCATGCTTTCGATCATGTTTTGACGTGGCAGGTTGGAGGGTGGGTGTTGGATCCTCTCTGGGATCCCCAAGATATGTTTAACCGAGGGGTGTCTGAGTAGAGCGAGTTGACCCAAGGAGAAGCAGTTGGAGGTCAGCCAGTAGGTAAACACCGCCTGAGGTTTGTTTGAGAAGAAAAGGATTTTAGACAGTGTATATACAAAGTACTCTTTCAGTATGATGTGGGGAGGTTAATTACTCACCGCGGGGAAGTTCATGGTGAGGGGGAAGACGAGAAAGGGCATGAGCCTGGACGTATACTTCAGGGCTCGCCCATAGGGGCTATCTATATTAGACTTTATACCCAACTAAAAGAGAAGACATTGAGGTGATTATTTAGGAAATTCACAATGACATTCAACAGTTTATAAATAGATCATTACCTACTGAGGAGTTGGGTAAAAGGTGGCTGACCTGCATGATTAAGAACATGGTTCCAGTGGAAGCCAAAGGCAGGATATAAAAAGGATCTGCTGCTGTCAGGTCTGGAAACCAGAGCATGCCTCCGGTCTGCAAGCTGGGCACCGGCAGATGGGCCATCTCCCTCAGTGCCAAGAAGAAAGACATGAAGATTGGTCCCTGTGGAAACAGACAGATAAGCGATTTGTCCTGATCACATATAATATCTTAAAACATAATTAACATAATAACAAAACACCTGTTAAAAATGTTAAAATGCAACAGTGTTGTATAAGTATACTGATCAATAAACACCAATATTGATAATACACGTTTATGTTTCTAACAGCCACTTAAGCACATATTTATATTTGCTACATTTTTAAATGTTATCACACATTACATATTTTATTAAATATGAATTAATATTAAAAGGAAATGTGTTCATATATAGTTTGAATTGCATATAATACAATAAGGTTATGTTTTTTTTTTTATTTGCTATTATTCTCTGTGCTAGAATACACATACATATATTTCTGTTATTTACGACAGATAATAAAGTTAAAGTAAAGACATTTAAGACCAACGTGGTGCGAGTACAAGCTGCAGAGAAATCTTAAAACTTAAAAATCGATCGCACTGAGAGTTAACTTTGGATAAGAATCACCTGCCCTAATGTTTTGATCTACATCTTTATCATCATTTCACATTCCCCCTTTGCCTGGACTTGTGAGTACACTGGGTTTTGATGGGAAGTAAGATTCAATAGAACTTGTGTGCGTTAATAGATTTTATTCCCATTCAGCAAAATAAAAACTATTAAGGTTAATACTAGTTTGGATGTTAAGAACTTGTCTGGATACAGAAGATCTACAGTATACTGCTGTTTACGCAGTAACAGTTGCAAACGGATACAGAAGTGTAATGTAAAAGACTTCCAGAAAGAAGAAAATTAAATTAATGTAACCATTTATTTTATCAAGCCTCCTGATATTTATTGAGTGTGACAGTATCCC